TAGTGGGAGGAAGGGCTGGCGAGCCGAGAATCTGGGTCCGGGCAGAAGGCTGAACTGGCGTATTAGTCAGGTCGTGTAAGTGTGTTGCGTCGTGATGCTTGTCAAGTTCATTCGTGATACATCATATTCTCATCAGCTGGAGCTGCATCTCATCATGAGCCGTACCTTTTGTTTCGGGCGTCATAGAAAAGGAAAATAAAACGCCAAGAGGCGCGAGATCAGCATATCCTGCGTCCACTTTGTAACAGAAAAAAGAAAAGAAAAAGGGTTGCAGGGCTGAAGGTCTGGGTTCTCAAGAATCTTGACAGGGGGGTTACAGGCAGGCAAGAAAGAAAAAGAAGCCATTGCGACAATAAATACGATTAAAATAAAATAAAAATTGAAAAGAATTGACATCTGTTGACGAGGTAACGTATGTTTGAAACATTTCCTTTTCTTTTAATATCCAACGGAAAGATTTACATTCTTAACAAGTGAGACAAAGGATGAAGAAATGGAATTTTTCCATTGTAAGTCGATCATTCTTTTTTAGTGGTGTTTTGGTGGAGTTGAGGATTTTTTTTTGACAGGGCGGGCCGGGGCGATCAGAGAAAGGAGGGGCACACACACACACACACACACATACAATCTCCAATGAATGGCATCAATTGATGTGATGCAATGCAATGCAACCTTGGCTATGTAGGGCCGTTTTTTGCTGCAAGGAACCAGGAGAAACAGGGCAGGGGTTTCTTTCTTTGAATTATTGTTTCTTGAAATAGATTTCATGTAGGGCCAGCTGAATGTTAAACAGCAAGTGACAGTATAGGGAATTCAATAGTCGATCAATTAATCCATCGATCACTCATCATCATCATCACCACTCTCACTCACTGATCAGATCTCAACTCACTCACCCGCTGTCACCCGCCAGCCAAAAAAAAAAAATGTCACATCATTCTCGTAACCGGCCCCAACTCAAAATCCTCCTCCGCCCCATACGCCCATCGGATGGATCGCCCTGGCCTGGCCTGGCCTGGCCTCGTCTCGCCTCCTCTCTCACTCACTCCTCAATCTTGACCCTCCCGTCCCATACTAACGTAGGTACACCCGTATATAGTTCAGGCCGTCGAGCGCCCTGGGTCTCGAGTGGCTTCGGGCATGCAAGGCAACCTGACCAAGAAGGCGCGCCAGCCCCCGTTACTATTCCCATGGGCGTCACCACCACACTTGACGTGCCTGAGTAAACTCTTTGTCCCCTTGACATGACTCCCAGTGTCTATGCTTTGACTTCAAAAACATTTCATCCATCAGGGGACACGGTTGCTGCGCACAGTGATCGTCCTTTTTTGTCCCTCCCCAGTAGACAAAGGGCGCAAATCAACTACCGTGACAAGAGAGCCGCTCCGTCAATGGAATGCTCCCTCATAGCCTCGTGCATTCCTCCCGCTGTCGCACTCAAATGTGCCCCCCTCCCCCAAGTAGCAACGGTCGTTGCTACGCCAGAGTGAATTCGTACCTCTCTTTGCGCCTGTCGTTATCGTCGTCGTCGCCCTCTCCTGATCCCTCTCATCGCCATCATCTCTGCCCAGCAACAACAACAAAGACATCAGACATCTCCCATCCTTGTTTTGGTCTCCCCGTGTCTCGCCGGTTCCTCTGGCGCCCGTTGTATACGCCGTCCGTTGCCCTGGCTCATCCATCCATTGCTCCATCGACTTGACTTTGGCCAGCCTGGTACCTATCATTTTCGCCCACACACGCCACGCCTTCCGAGGCCTCGTTCGCTTCCCGGCCGAGTTCTGTGTTGCTCGTCTCGAACTCTGTTTTCCTCTCTCCTGACTGGCTCACGCCTCTCGCCTCTCTCTTCCCGCTCTCTTCTCACTCTCACTCAAGAATCTCTTCTCATCCTGTTTGCCATCTTTTTGGCTCTCACCTCCTTCATGCCACCAACTTCGACTTCCATCTCGACTTCGACATCCCCGTCGCGTCCAACAACTCTCTTAGCCAGCCCTAGGTGACTCGCTTGGCTGACTCCTCCCCCATTGCCTCCTCATCCGCCCACTTCCACCAGCCCGGAGGATCAGCCGAGTAGGATACCAATGGCCTCCTGGACCCTTCCCTACCGGGTTGAGCCCGTCGACCGCGAACCGGGCTTCTACTGGCAGGATCTCGACGATGGCCCCAATGATGGTTCCAACGACTTATTTGGTCAGTTTATCAACTTCGACACCGACATCCCCTCCTCCGTGGCCGATCCTCACGGTCCCGATCCTGCCGTGCCCACTTTGCCGGCCAGCATCCTCGATCATCACGCCGAGTCCACCGCCTCATCCGGCGTGTCAACAACCGAAGATGAGTTCGACTTCTTCTCTTGTAGTTCCCAGGTCGACGCAACTATGCCATCTCAGCCCAGTTCATCTACCGCGCCCACTCTCTCTCATGAGATTGATCCACGGAGCCTCGCGCTTGCGAGCAGTGATGACTTCACCACCGATAAGCCCTCCCAGGTACCCCGGGTCTCCATGTCCGACCCAGCGCTGCCTCGAGTGGCAGGTATCTCACTACAGTACTCACCTGTGAAGCGAGAACCCGTCTCACAGCCATCTTCGCCGACGCCGCCCAACACCAACGTCAGGAAGCCCAACAAGTTTGTCAAGGCGCTCTCGTCCACTTTCCGCAAGGCTAGCAAGCTTCACAAGCCCAAAAAGCCCATCGTTATGGATCGCTCAGCCTCTCCGACCATGGACAATCCACCCCCGGCCTTGAGGCCGCAGCACCACGAATACGGCAACGGCAACGACGCGTTCCCACACTCTCCGACTGGGAGGCCGGACAACGCCCACTTCGTCCATGGAATCCTCGATGATCCTTTCAACGAGATACCCGCGCCGCCACCGGCCGACTCACTCCGGTTCTTCAGCAGCAACGGACTCCACACACCGGTCGAGTCCCCGGGAGTCAAGCCGGAGCATGGCAACTTTCCGCCCGAGATGGCCGGTCAAGCACACCAAGCGGCCTGGCAACACCAGCAACAGCCACATCCCCACCCACACTCGCACCAACAGCCAGCTCAGGGGCGCTCGCACCCTGTCGTCGTGGCGGGATCCGCGCCAGAGTCATGGGCGGCACACGAATACATGGCCCAGAACCCTCACCAGAGTGGGTGGTGGGATCTGAACCTGATCAGCCAGAACGGCGAGTATGTCGTGGTCGATCCGCAGCAACAGAAGAATGCAAACCTCAACATGGCCATGCACGCCCAGCACGCCGAGCTGCCATACGAGTACCAGGTCCACGACCCCAACGCCCCTGGGCTCATGATCCATATGCCACAGCCCCGAGCAGCTCCAGCTGCCGTCCACGACCTCACCCTCAACGCGCAGACCTACCTTCCTCCTCCACCTCCGATCCCACCAACGAACGCGACCTCTGAGCGCCATCGGCCACCAAGAGCCCCGTCATCCGGCGCCCGACACCTCTCATGCTCACCTATCCGCAAGACTCGTCAACCATCCGCATCTCCCACACCAGCAACAGCGCACTCGCGCCACAGCTCAAACGGATCAGTCAACTCAGCACGCAGCGCCTCAGGGCGAGGCATAGTTCCCGGGACTCCGACGGCGATGCGCAAGCAGCGACGATCGCGGGAGCCCAGCGGCAGCAGCGCAGGCGGGGGAGGTGAGATTGGCTTCGTCAACTTTACGCCTAACGACGGTAGCATCCTCATGACGGGCGTGGCTCCAAGTGGTAGCTCCAAGACAAAGGCGCGGCGAGAGCGCGAGGCCATGGAGCGACGGCGACGACTGAGCGAAGCGGCCATGAAGGCGGTTCAAGCGGCGGGCGGCGACGTTGACAAGTTGATGGAGCAAGGCTTTGCCTTTTAGCGATGCATGCTCCTCAACGGGTCGGTTCCTGCATAATGATCGACGTGGCCGCCGCCACTAACTGACGGTCAGCTCAGAGCTCAAGAACGTGTCCAAGAGACATGAAAATGAGAAAGTGAGAGACGACAAGACACAAATAATCAAAATGCTCACGCACAATCAAGTCGAGGAGGTTGGTTTGAAAGGCGCAAGAGTGGCAGGACCAGGCAATGTAATGCAATGCAGGGGTTGGGCGGTGAAACAATTTGCGACAACTTCCGTTTGGGAAAGGGCAGGTGCAAGTCAACACGAACGAACGGGAAATGGCGGGGGGCGTTAAACATCACATCCATCACGAGCCACTTCATCTTAGAAGTGGAGGGGGCCGACACAACCACAACCACAACACCAACACCAACAGTAGCGCTACACTATCACCTATGGCGCTGACTAGATACTTCTTCCTTTGTCCTCTTCTCTTCTTCCTTTCCTTCATCTCTCTTTCATATCCTTACTTCTTCCAACTTACTCTCTTGCTTCTCTCAACCATCAACTTTGTCAGAAGCATCACACCCTCTCACCTCTAGTCCTCCTCCTCATCCATTTCCTTTATCATCTACAACACAAACCACACCTCCCTCTATGGGATCAACTCAACATTTTCTTTTTGGTTTCGTCTTTTGCTTCAATATACCATTCTTGTATCAATACTCTTATACCACAAGACCTCCTGCAGTCTGCCCTTGTTCTTCTTCCCTCTAGCAGCACCGTCTTGTCCTTTTTTTGTTTCCTTGGTCAGTGTGTGTGCCGGCCCTCGTTTCTTCCATGGAGTAATCATTGTATTTGTAGGATCAGCCTAGGAATTGGGTTAGCTTTTAGCATTCATTGAGTTTCCTTCTTGTCCTTTCTGCGGTGGGCGTGAGTGAGTGAGTGTAGAGGGATACATCATTCGCTATCATGATCGATTCGATATTGGTCACAAGGTAGTTTGCTCAGATTCTTGCTACAGGATACAGTCATTGATATGACTCTTCCATAGGTTTTCATAGACAAAACAGCTCACACGATTCCATTTGTCCCATTACAAGACCAAGACTTGCCTTTAGTTGCCCATACTCAACAACCATCATTTGCTCAAGGTAGAGTAGACCAAGTATTGGAATATTTTTGTATTGGCCAAGACAATGACCGAGCTGCTATGCTATGCTTCCCAGCCGCCACAGCCATGTCTTGACTACATCGTCCTCCTCGGATATCGAAAATCAGCTGGTTGGTCTGAGCCAACTCAGTCCAGCTGTACAAACATGTTCCCCCGTTACTTGTCCCTTCCCGATATGGTTTATATACACAAAGCAAATACTCGTACTGAGCTCAAAGATTTCGATATTCGCCAACGCCAAGTCTCGTCGCAGACGCCGTCGTCATGCTTTCGATAAAAAAAGCCATCCAAAGATAAAAGAAAACACGGTCTTGGCGTGGTCGTGTGTTGCTGATTATCAGGGTCTACCATAGTCGTGACCCAAGAAAATCGCGTGAATGCAAAGTCTACCCAACAAGGGCGCAGACGATATAGCCCTTGGTCAAAAATAGGTATGCGCTCCTGGCATTATATCAATTAGTGATCATAGCCGGCACCTCGCTGCCATGGGCTGTATTGAATTAGCATATGATGTCTACAAGTCGCAGAGGCTGTTTAGACTCACCTGGCGTTGTTCTGTGATCGGTATCCGCCCGGGCTAGAGTTGTTGTTTGACCGTTGCTGAACGAGCGGTGACCCCTGCTGCTGGTAAGGGCTAGGGGAAGCAGAGCGGAAGGGGCTCTGGGGCCGTCCATCGGCAGGGAAGAGAGGCATCGAGGGGTTCACTGGGGACCGGGGAGGAGCATCACCTCGGTGGAACGAGGACTGGGACTGGTTGTTCATCTCAGCTCGCCTCCGAAGGCTCTCGGAAGACATGGAATCCTCCTCGTCAAGGTCGAGGTGCTTGTTGTAACCCGTCTTGTCACCTCGAGCGGTGGCCGCAAGAGCATCGAGCTCAGTAGTGGTGTTGAGCTGGGTCTGAGACTTCATGAAAGAAGCACGATCATCGGCCATAAACTGGTATCGCGCATCGGGGTTCTTTCGGAAGAAAACAATGGTGGTCGACACGAGAAGCATGAGAAGAAGAATGAGGGCGAAAGCTGCGTTGAGGACAAAGAGAATGACACCCACAACACCAACGACGATCTTGGGCAGGCCAAATACGTTGGAGAAGATGAGAAGGAAAATTGCGTTAATAAAGTTGATGGCACCAATGGCAATGTTGAACGAGTTGGTCGGCTTGTCCATCCAGGGTCGGAGAACCGAAGCGCCAATCAAGTAACCAACTTCAATGATAATGAAGCCAATGGCCTGAGCGACGCTGTTCTTCTGGGACAGTGCCACAAACATCGACTTGATCAGGGTGTAGATCAGAATAGGAACGATGAAGTAGTAGGCAGAGGCTCGGAACTGGACGTAGAGGAAACCCCACTTGTTGAGGGCCTGGGGATCCGAGAAGAGGATGTAGGCCGGGTTGCGGTGCATGGCGACGGAGCGGCGAGCGATGCGGATAACCTTGCTGGCGCCCCAGGCGAGACTGAAGACCATGCCAAAGAGGAAGAAGACGGCCAGGACAACTTCGGCCGGCGAGTCGCGCTGGGTAAACTCCCAAAGGCAGAGAATAGTCATCTGGGGGAAACCAATCAGGGTCAGGCGGAACAAAACACCCTTGAGGATGGTGAGCCAGCCGTTGCGGAAGTCCATGAACTTGTCCTTGGACATCCAGTTCTGGCGAACGCAGAGCTCCAGGATGCCCTTGAAGGCGGCCAAGGCCAGGAACGTGATGACAACAAAGGCGCAAAAGAAGGTGAGACCTGTCATGAACAGGTTTGTCGACTCGATCTTGGCCTTGAAGGCGACACGCTGAATACCGTAGACAGTATATGTGCCATCATCGTTCTGGATGTTTCCACGCTTTGCGAGGTCGACAACGGCTCGGGGCATCATAGCCGCACCGCGCTTGAAAAGATCGACGCTAGTTGAGGCAAGTTGCAGGCTTCGCTTCTGAACTTCAACCGAAATCGAGCCAACGGTGTAGAGGATGGATTCGGGGGTACCGCCAGTGGCTCTCTGGTACCAAGTGAAAATATCCTGCATAAATCCGACCTTGATAATACCCATAGACCACTGGAAGTCCTGAGTCCAAGAAGAGACAATTGGGGGAAGTCCAACGCTGGTAAGACCGAGAATGGCCTGCGCCTGGAAATAACCGAAAAGTGAGAGAGAGTTGGAAGCGACGTGAGCAGCCGTGTTAGCGTGACCGACACCCGATACAATGGCAGAGGCGACAAGTCCCAATCCAGCAATAATGGCTGTCGCCCACTTGACACCCACGAGATCGACTGTCTTTCCATTGGAAAAGTCGGCTTCCACGCAGGCGACAGGCTCTCTCGTGTCGCTCCTGTTGACGTAAACACGGACGGTGGCATCGAGATCGGGAACGCTGTAGGCGATTCCAGGAACTTGCTTGAGGCTCTCCTTGTCAACAGGGAGGTTGAACTTGAAGGGAATCTTGCCAGAGACCATGGGGCAGAGACCGGGAAGGTTGTTGGTGCAAGGATCAAACTCCCTCTGGAGGAACTGGTAGCCGTACGCGGACAGTCGAATGTCAAAGACGACCTTGCCTTGGATGGACGAAGTGGCAGCGGCGACAACTCTTGCGGAACCGTTGTTTGGCGTCAAGGTGACCTGGAACATACTGGCACTGAAACCGTTCTCCTTCTGACAGGCGTTGAGAGAGTTGGAATAGAGCACCTTCTCACCAGACACGGGCGCCGCCAGGGCGGCTACTGAGGCGAGAACCGCCAACGGTTTCATTATACAAGACCACATTGTTATGGCCAATTCTGATGCTCCTCAATCGGTGGTCTGGCGATGGTTGGTAGATCAGCCAGTCGGGCGTTGTTGTCGTAAGGGGATCGTAAAGGCGCACAGGGGGCCTGTTGTCGTCGGTCGGGTCGCGCTCAGAAACAGGGCCGTAAAGACTGCCGACGAGAGTCGTTCGAATAATGGAGTCGAAAAACAAGGAAGCGGACTAAAAAATCGGAAGGCTGGTCTGATCGGGAGAGGCGGCGCTTGTTTTGCGTTTTCCAGGAGGCGTGACGTGGTTCTAGACGGCGGACTTGCAAGCGAGAGAGAGCGACGACCGCGTGGAACGACTGGAAGAGCGGACGGAGAATTACGAAACGGAACAAGACGAAGAGAAGGAGAAGTAAAGTAAAGTCGAGAGAGAAAAACTAGCGAACGGCCGAGGCGAGAAATCGTCTCCGAGACGAGGCGTGGCTGGAAAGCGTCGTCGTCGATAGGGTTGGGTTTTTCCCGTTTGTCGCTGTTCGATGATGAATGAGATGGGTTTGCGTGTGTGGGGGGGGGAAGGAGGATGGGAAGGAAGAGGCACCGGCAGCAGCGAAAGCGAACTGGAACTGGAACTGGAAGCGTCAGCAACTGGAAGGGAAGGAGGCAGGAGGGAGGGAGGAGGTACTAATTGATTGGCGCCGACGGTGGAAGAAGGTACCCAACAGGTAATGATTGCGCTTGAGGTACGTAGGTACATCCAAGGTAGGTACGTGTGCGTCGGGTGCGTCGCCTGCCCGTGCAGGGGGTGGAAGATGGGGACCAGAAGCAGGGGCTGGGAGAGACCGGATTGGCTTGGCCGTGTCTTGTGTTCTGCAGTGTGATAGGGGAGGAAGACAAGGGCGATTAATGGCCCAGTAATTTTTTTTCTGGCCAAGGGAAAGGATTGGGTTCTTTTTCTTTACTCTAGGGCGGACCGTCACTGGTTGCGCTGAATTCATGCCAACATTAGATCACTATAGTTCCAGATCATGAGCTGGGCTACTTTCTGTGTGGTCACGGGCACCTCAATCACCCACCGGCGGCAATACAAGATGGGGCCACAAACGCCAAATTTACCCATGGATCTCAGTCAGCAAAGCAGAAAAAAAGATGATGATCCATCCGTCGTATCGAGGACAATCCGTATTCACTCAACAACACCCAAGAAAACCAAAAACGACCTTGTACCGCTGCTAGCATGTCTTGGACGCTGTTCCCCCCCTAGCGCGAGAAATCAGCGGGCTGTGCAGGTACCTGGAATGCAGGCCAGCCGCTGGGCACAAGGACAAGTCAAGGGGCTCCCCCCCGGGGCAAGGGTGACGACTTGGATCTCGTATACGCTCTAACAAGAGGTACCTGGTGGATACCTGTCACCTCTCGGTGCAGGGAAAAGACCGCGGGAAAGCCCCTTGGCGAGCGAGCACCACGTACGAAATCGGCAGTCTGGAGATTGCTCAGCGGATGTTTCGGGTTTGGCAGACGCTGGAAAGAGGTCAGAGGATTGTAAGAGATCTCTCAAGGATCCATGAATAGATGGGTTTCTCTCATAGTGCAAATCTACTACTGTACCTACAAAGGAGTTGCGGTGACAACAACAACAACAACAACTCTAACAAGGACGCACAGAACTTGGCAATAACAATGGCTGGGCTGGGCTGCAGTTCGGGGAGGGCGGGCTGAGTGGCTTTCTTCCAAGGCGCTGCAACAACAACAACAACAGCAACAACAACGACATCATTCACATCGACTGTTGATCCATGATGCACCAAGATGCCCGACCACGGCAACCGGCCTCTGACATTTCCGGTTTTGGGCTGCTGGCGACCAAGTCTACTGCATGCCGCGTCGAATAGTGGCCATGCTATCGTTGGCTGTGGGCTGCCAGAGAATCTTGGTTTTTCCCTCCCCGACCTCTTTGTGTCAACGACTCTGGTCAGATGGTCTTCAGCCAAGGCTGGGCGCATGCTCGGCAATCACCAAAGATGTTGTTTTTACTACTGCTTCTTGTCTCCCAAAGCATACGGATGTCACCTCGTCATCCTGTCACAGGTTTTCCTGTCTAATTTACGAGACCCAGCAAATCCACGCAACCACCGCGAGTTGGAGGCTTGCACAGCCCCCCTCTCTCCCTCCAACGCTGCCGAAGCCCGAAAGGTCACACTAGGGGGCGGCCCCCCTTGCTCGCTCCCTCAGGTCAGTCGAAAAGAAAACCCAAGAGACGGTACGGTATGCCCAGACAATGACCAAGCGAACCCGTCGTATCAAAGTAAGATGAATATTCGCTTGGTAATGAAGGTCAAGATGCGAAAATGGGTGAGTTAGAGGAGGCTGTGCAGGAGGTAATACGCGTGCTTGAGGGAGTATTCGTGTTGGACCTCCTCGTGCACTGTTGTTGCCACTAACAACATCAATACGAACTCGTCGGCGTAGCCGCAGAAGAAGCTTTGTCGTGAGCTCGACAACCAACTATAGAAAGAGTATACGGAGTACTGCGTAGTAGGAGGAATGCAATCAGCCTTTGTCTGTGAGATGAAAGGTCTCACTTATAGAAAACGGCTCAGTCACTCATCCGGCTCTACCGAGTTCTCAACTCGTAGCCATCCACAATAGTAACAGAGACAAATACAATGCACCGTTGCATTCTGACAGTGGCGCCTAGCACTCGTGTAATCGGCAGCCGTTGCCCTGATGATCCCCAATTGAGTTCAACAGTTGTTAAACTTACAACGTCACCCTCAAAAGATTCATCATCTCGTTCGTTAGAACATTCCAAAAACTCGTGGCCTCCCCCCCCCTCCTTTCCCCCACCAATATGCAAACCCGCCCTTCACAGCCTCAAAATCCAGGGGTAAGATTTCCCCTCGCATAACTCGCCGTAGCCAATTAGATCAAGACAATACCGCGCAAAAGGAATGTTTCGCACTTTTTTCTCTTTCGTCTTGTACGGTGGAAGGAGATTAAGCTCGTCAGGGGTTGGTTCTTCTCGCTGACATGCATCTCACCTGAGATGGCCGACGATTACTGCGGTGAGCAAACAATGTCCCGCTCTCTAGTGACGCGACTCTCCACTGGGCGAACGTCACTGAGAGAATCGTCGGGCATGTGAATGGACCGTCGACGAATCTCAAACATGACGGGGCATGGACGCGTCAACTCGAAACCCACTCATCGTCCAAAGATGCCATGTGTGATCGACACGAGTCCCCATCAATCTTGCAGATTTTGCACGTGTCGCTGGAAAAGGGCTCGAATTGATTCTTCATCTCTTTTTGACTCCGGCTTAGCATGATCCGAGTCTCACCGTAGGTTAGTTTCGTCCACCACGTTTCAAGACTCTTTGCATGGCAAAAGGCACCGCTCGCGTCACATGCACTACAACACCCAGGGTATCAGAGCATGAAATATGTCAATGCCAAACATCTAGTCCAATCCCAGTGGTCCAAGTATAAATGCAGTAAAATCCCTGTCCATAATAGATCCATGTAATAATATGATATCCGTTCCTTCATAGTCATAAATGGCCCATGCCCCCATTCTATAGCACATCCCATTGAGCGTTCCACGGGTTGTTCATGGTCGTGTAGTCCACGCCGTGCTTGTATGAGCTCGTTAGTTCCTCCTGATCCACACCGCAGTGCGTCTGTCCATCACGCCCAGTGAACCAGCCCAAGCCATATGTCTTGCCGTCGTCTAACCTCTTTGCCATCTCCGTGTTGTTGAGCTTGGCCGTCCCCACAAAGTTGTACAACATCTTGCTCTGGTGGATAAAGGCAAGAATCGATGCGATCGTGTTGGGTTGTCGTGGCAGGAAGGGATGTCGTCGTCGGAAGAAGACTATGGTCGCCACGACAAACATGTAGAGCAGCATGAAGACCGTGAGTCCGAGGGTCAGGTAGAATGACCGTACAGTCTCCTGGCCAGAATTGAGCCCGTCTTCTTCTTCCTCTTTCGAGTGGCCCTTGACAAGGTCTTTTATTCCCTTGTAACCCACGATGAAGTCCTGTCCATCAACCGTAGCAAGACTTGTAACCAAAATAGTCAAGAACTCAGCCATGACGGTTCCGAATCCAACCATAAAGACCAGAAAGTGGCCGTTCAGGAGAGCGCGCAGAGGCATGTAGGCAAAGGGCAAGGCCGTGTAGTCGAGCGTGAGCGTCTTCGAGTGAGCGCGACGCTTTGAGAGGATGTAGTAAGGTTCCATCATGCGCACCGCCGTCTCCATGGCGCCCCAGCTCATCTTGAGCATGACAGCAAGAGCTGTCACCGCCCAGGCAGCCTTGTCCGTGATAATGCGGGCAGGAGTAAAGAGGAAGGTCGGGATGAAGCCTGCAAAGAGCAGTAGTCCAATGATGAAGGGGATGCTGCCGATCGGTCGCAGCATCACCGGGTGCGGGTGTTCAGAAAGATGTGCGCCGTCGTCTTGCTCACGGTCAGCCTCCAACTTGGCGCTACTTCCCTGGTACGGCGCGAGAGACGAGTTCCTGAGCATATATCGACGGCGCTTCAGCTTATGGTGAATATCCTTGTGCTTGGCCGTGTCCATGTCCTTGAAATCCATCAGGATATGGCTCACGACAGCCATGCCTGCGAGACCAGCGATGCCTCTCACATCAGACAGGAGACCTGACCGTCGTGACTGCAACACGAACAGTAGACCACACCCAAGAACCGCGTTAACAGCCAGGGTTCCTGTCAGAAGCCGGGACCAAATTTCATGAACGAAAATCTCCTTCTCCTCATCCGGACGATCCATGCGCTGGCTACGATCGGGTCTCAACACGATAGAAGCAGCGGCAAAGGTAGGTACCAGCGACACGGCAAATGTCGAGGCAATCGATGATAGTGCCACCGCATAGTGGCCCAGTCTAAGGGCGCGGAATGGCCTCCAGAAGCTGAAGCTGGTGACATAGTCGGCATTAATCGACTTGGAAGCCAAGGCTCCCTCAGGCTTGGACAGCTGATAAAAGGCCTCCAGACGACGGACTTCAAAGTCGGTAAACTGCCAGAACACGCCGTATGCGACAGCACACAGTGTCGGCAGGAACTTGACGGCAAAGTAAAGCCAAGCGTCCAGGTCGTTTGGCGACTTGAATTGGATGATGGGCTTTTTGCCAAATTTTTGAAAGAGGACCTCCTGGAGAACTGCCAGCGCAATTGAGAGCAGAACGAGCAGCAGGAGATATGGCCATCGCATGGAGATGGGCTTCCAATTCGGTTGGGGGTAGAAGATCTCCGTCTTGGTCTCCTTCTTGACCGGGAACGTTGAGCGACGCATGTCGTCCACATCGGCCAGGGTGTTGAGTCCCTCCATGCTGCTCAGATCAGCTCCTGGCCCCTCCTCCTCCAAGATGACCTCGATAACCTCGCCCTTTCGGTTGGCCTCATCCTGCCCTCTCTGCCGAATCTCATCAGCTCGACCAGACCCGACGCGCCGTGAAAATGAGCGCGAAATACTGCGCTGGACCATAGTAGGCGTGGACAAGAGATCAGCATCTCGCACTTTGATGTCG